GGTCCTGCTTTAAAAGCTGTTTGCCCTGCTTTGAAAAGTTGTTGGCCCTGCTTTAAAAGCTGTTGGTCCTGCTTTAAAAGCTGTTGGCCCTGCTTTAAAAGTTGTTGGCACTGCTTTAAAAAGTTGTTGGCCCTGCTTTAAAAGCTGTTGGTCCTGCTTTAAAAGCTGTTGGCCCTGCTTTAAAAGTTGTTGGCACTGCTTTAAAAAGTTGTTGGCCCTGCTTTTAAAGCTGTTGGTCCTGCTTTAAAAGCTGTTGGCCCTGCTTTGAAAAGTTGTTGGTCCTGCTTTAAAAGTTGTTGGTCCTGCTTTAAAAGTTGTTGGCCCTGCTTTAAAAGTTGTTGGTCCTGCTTTAAAAGCTGTTGGCCCTGCTTTAAAAGTTGTATTCATAATTTTTATGGCCATCAACAAACATAATAATAATAATAATAATAATAATAATAATAATAATAATAATAATAATAATAATAATAATAATAATAATAATAATAATAATAATAATAATAATAATAATAATAATAATGGAACCCACCATATATAACTCACCTTGTTGCTTTGAAAACTCTTAAAAGGCGTACACAACGTAAAACACTGATACCAATAGGTGGTATAAGCTCTGCATAGATCAGCACCATCTCAAGAAGGCTACTACACACTACAAAGCAGTCAAATCGGTTGAAAAGTGATACAAAGTATCCATTCAGTCCTAAACTGTACATTTTTAATAACATTTCTATGGTAAAAATTACAACAAAACAAAGGTTGGCATAATCTGAAAAAGATCAGAAAGAACAATTAAACATTTATTATGTAAGCAATAAAGCACCATTAGGCATGGTTATCTAACAAAAATGTATTTGACATTCAACTGAGTAAATTATTTTCAGTCATGGTAAAGGTTCCCTTTGTTCAATAGTAAACAAAACTAAACCATTTTGAATAAAAACTTGGAGTACAAGTACATGTTAATATGTGTGACATGATGTCTAATGTACTTGTAATATTTGACTGCAATCAGTCAAGGCATGTCAGAGATTATAGCTCTGCAACAGCATTCGTTATTAAATACAAATTGAATTTGATCTAACAAAAACAAAATGATGTGCATCAAGAACAGATCATGTGCAATGTGTGTAAATCTGTTCATGCACAGCCGAGATCTGGTTCTGTAATGGCAGGAATGATTGATTTTCATGAATTTACAAAATTGATATCTGTCCATACACAACTGAGATCTTATCTTGAATGATAGAAATGCTAGGTTTTGATGCATTTTTAGCACAAAAATGGCTGCCATTCAACCATCTTGAATACACATGTCATAGTATAAAAAACAAGTCATTGTCAATGACAAGTCCCCGTTCCATTCATATTTGAGTGACATATACATTCAAAGCAGATCACGACCGAAATGCACCTGCATATGTACAACTAAATCTGAGCAAAATCCATCCATGCATGACTGAGATCCGGTTCCGGAATTGTGAAAATACGTGATTTTGATGCAATTTCGGCCTTAAAATGGCCATCATTCAGCTATTGTTAAGCGGATCATTAAACAAATGCACATATCTATTTGTGACATGATGTACCATGTGTGTGTGAAGTTTGAACTTGATCAATCCAGACATGTCTTGGATACGGATCCAGAACTGAATTCTTTAAAATAAAATGGCCGCCAGTCGGCCATTTCGAACTTGATCCAAAAAAAAAATGACGTGCATCAAGGTCCTATTATGTTTAATGTTTGTACCAAATTTGACAAAATCCGTCATGCAT